GGCTAATAGACTGTGCAGAATGACAAAAGCTGTACAGTGGCCAGGAGTTTCTGTTGAACGGCATAAGCAAGTCAAATTCTTATTCTTTCTTGGCATCAGTACTACTTAAAGTCCGTTTGTGGGTTTGGTTTTTTTTTTGTGGTATCACTATTTCTGATGACCTTAGAGCCTTGTCTTTTTTTAGTACAATTTTATATGGCTAGAAAGGCAAGTTTCATTAGAGGACTTTTGTAAGAAGTAGAAAACATCAGCACACGTTCTAGTGGTTTGAAAGTGCTGTTGTATGTTGGGAATTATTGCCTATTTTGTTTGCCTCTTTTGCCACTCGATAAAGACAATAGACTTTTTCTTCAGAGGGGGTGGTGAATTTTGTACTTTCTGGTTTTGATCCTTGCAACAGAACTTTCACTTTTCTTTCGGCCCTGCAATGACAGGATAAGAGCTTTTTCTAATGGTACACTTCAGAAGTTTTCATTGAAGTATGGCAGACAAGACACTTAACTTGATTGACAGCTCAATACAAATCAGTTCTTTAAAGCACTCTTTAAACTTTTTACAGAGTGAATTCTGTTTCTATGCTAAAATGTATGAGAATCAGTAATTCTGTGCTGATTTGCCTTGTTAGAGTTCTGTGTCCTGTTCTTGGCTCCCCAGTATGAGACAGATACAGGCTCACTGGAGCAAGTCCAGCGAAGGGCTGTGAATATGACTGAGGGACTGGAGCATCTTTCAGATGAGGAGTGGCTGGGACTGCTTGGCCTGGAAAAAAGAGGTCTTGTGGGGATCTTATACATATAAATACCTTATGGGAGGGTAGTGCTTGTCTGTAGTTCCCACAGACAAGGCAGTGGGAACAAAATAAAACACCCATCAAATTCCATCTGGACACAAGAAAATGCCCCCCGTGCTCCCCCCACTGTGAGGGTGGTCAAACACTGGAACAGGTTGCCCAGACAGGTGGTAGAGTCTGCAGAATTCCTGGAGATTCCACTGGATGCAGTCTTGGGCAACTGGCTCCAGTTGGCCCTGCTTAAGCAGGGAGGTTGAACTAGATTATCACAGGAGGTCCCTTCTGATCTAAATAGTTCTGTGACAATACATTTACAAGGGGGGAGGTTATGAATTAATACGTTATAACATAAAGGTGTAATTTGTGATTTATAAGCCGTACTTCAAATGCATATAAGTAGTGCCTGTTCAAATTTAGGTAATGCTGCTCAAGCACATCATCCTTTTCTTGATATAGGATGTGCATTGTTGCAACAATATGCTTATGTACTGTTCTGGTTTCAACCAGGGTAGAGTTAATTTTCTTCATAGAAGCTAGTGTGAAGCTATGTTTTGGATTTGGGATGATAAAATGTTGATAAGGTGCTGATGTTTTGAGTTGTTGCTAAGTAGTCAAGGACAGTCCAGCTTCTCGTGCTGGCCTGCAGTGAGCAGGCTGAGGGTGCACAGGAAGCTGGGAGAGGACACAGCTGGGACAGCTGACCCAGGCTGGCCAAAGAGATATTCCATACCATATAATGTCATGCTCAGTATATAAAGCTGGGACAAAGAAGAAGGAAGGGGTGGAGAGACGTTCGGAGTGATGGCGTCTGTCTTCCCAAGAAACCATTACATGTGGTGGAGCCCTGCTTGCCTGGAGATGGCTGAACACCTGCCTGCCCCTGGGGAGTAGTGAATGAATTCTTTGTCTTGCTTTGCTTGCGTGTGCGGCTTTTGCTTTACTTATTAAACTGTCTTTATCTCAAACCATGAGTTTCCTCACTTTTACTCTTCCAATTCTTCTCGCCCCCGGCCCACCGTGGGGGAGTGAGTGAGCGGCTGCGTCGGGCTTAGCTGCCAGCTGGGGCTAAACCACGACAGTACACAGAGAAAACTTAAAACATCTATGTACGTGTCAAGCAAAAGAATAGGATAGCTAGTTGTATTTTTAATGTGAAAAACAGTATTGTGCTAAATGGTATAATTTTCTTAGTTGCACTCATTAACTTTGTAACATTTAGTTGTTATGAAGACTGCTTAAGACAAGATTCTTCATTACTTGTCTCCTATTCTGGGTTATTAAAATAATAGCTAGTAATAAAATGTGTCCATAAGTTGTAAAGTCTTAATTTTGAGTAAATCAAGGAGGCTTTGTAAGCAGGTTATTTGAATTCATGGTTACTCTGTGTAGGTGAAAGGTATATGATTTGCTGAACCTACTTCAAGATTGAGTGTTCGTAACTGTTTAAGAAGGTGGAGTACCTTCGTATCCTCTGCTATTCTGCATCTTTCCTTAGGAACTTGAGCTATTTCTTGTTGGTTGTGATGACAACTGTCCTGGTTTCAGCCAGGATAGAGCTGGTTTTCTTCATAGAAGCTAGTGTGAGACTGTGTTTTGGATTTGGGATGAGAAACTGTTGATAATGTGCTGATGTTTTGGGTTGTTGCTAAGTAGTCAAGGATAGTCCAACTTCTTGTGCTGGCCTGCCAGTGAGCAGGCTGGGGGTGCATGGGAAGCTGGGAGGGGACACAGCTGGGACAGCTGACCCAGACTGGCCAAAGAGATATTCCCTACCATATGTCATGCCCAATACATAAACTGGAGTTGGCCGGGGGCAGAAATCGCTGCTCGGGGATGGGCTGTCGATCACTGGGTGGTGAGCAATTCCTGCATTGGGCATCACTTGTTCTTGTACATTCCTTTGTTGGTATTATCACTGTTGTTTCCTTCTTTCTTTCTGTCCTATTAAACCGTGTTTATCTCAACCCACGAGGTTTTTTTCCTAATTCTCTCCCCGACCCCACTGTGGGAGGGGGAGTGAGTGAGCAGCTGCGTGGTGCTTAGTTGCTGGCTGGGGCTAAACCACGACAACAACTAAAGCTTCCCCAGTCCTTTTCTGCATTTATTGATGAGTTTGTTCACCTCATCACATAGGGGTGCTGAGGAGAGTAAGGCATAATAGCTAAAATGCATCATCTTCCACTCTGAAAGTCTTGTCTTTTCCTAAATGGGAAGACCTGACCCAACTTCAGACTCTTTTCTTCAGGAATTGAAGAAATTACTCTTAATGCTTGAGTATTCAAAACCCCTTAGATTTGGAAATAAGCTGTCACTTTTGTTGGAATGATACTACTTTATTTTCAAAATAAAGGCTACCTCGTGGAGGGGGGAAAAAAAGCCAATGTTTCTGAATTGTGTTTTGCAACAGAGTGGGAGAAGAGGTGTGACTGTAAACACTGAAAAAAAACCCCAAAAACTTGAATATAAATTACAGTTCTGTGAGAACCTTGATTTAAAATTGCTTACCTCATATTTAAGACTGCAGGAGACTGTTCAGCAGTTATGAAAACAAAACATTGGTGTTCTTAGAATCGTAGAGCGTCTCAAGTTGGAAGAGGCCCATAAGGAGTCTAACTCCTGTTCCTCGCGGGACTACCTAAAACTAAACCATATGACTATCAAAAGAAATGGAAAAAAAATTTAACTGCAAATGTCTTGCAGAAAATGTCATGCTAGTTTTCTTATTATAACCAAATCTCACAAGTTACACATATAAAGTATATACACCTATGTACTTCACAGAGAAGTTCAGACAATGCGTTAATTGCTTGGGGTGTTTTCCCCTGGGAATGTTAATACCTTGCCCTTCAGTCACTTACCTAACAGCTGGAGTTACTATTGGTAGTGCTCCTCTAGCAAGTTCTTACGCATTCAGTCTGAGTTGACAGAGTGCTAAGAGTTAGAAAGTGCCAAACATCTGTTTTCTGAGCTGTAAAACTGTCCTGGATTGTAGGAGGAGATTAAGAACTGCTGTGTTATTCCCGAAGGCTTTGAGCGGGATTTCAAGTGCTTGACTACATGCAACTGGGTACACAAAGCCCAGTAACTCAGGATCTAGTCTGCTTGTCAGGTAGCATCTGCAAGAGTTCAGCCTGTAAAATGACTATTTTAGGCCTTGTCAAATGTGAAAGGAGAAGCAGCAGTTGAGGAGTCTTTTTTTTGTTTGGGTGGTGTTGTGTGTGTCCCCCCCACCCCTCTGGCCTTCCATTGCTGTGAACTTGTAGTATCTATACCTCCATTATTTGAAAGGCTGTGGGTAGATTATCAGTAGATGTTAGCATAGTGCTCAAATAATGCTCTTACTTATTTTTGTAGGAAGTTACTTGCTTCATCTTCAGAGTGTTCAGGCATCAGTGACTAGAGTGATCAAAGTCCAGTAAATTGCAGGGCTATAAAAATTGCATTTATATACATCTTAACGATAAGGACCTAAAAAGCTTTTTTTCAATCTTCTAAATGGCATGTACCAATTATGAAGTAAAATGGGAGGATAGTGGATCTTGTCAGAAGCTTTTCAATTTGGAATGGTACTTGAGGCTGAAGGCTAGGGTCTTGAATTTTAAGTAGTCTCAAGTTTGTAGAGGAGCCAAAGTGACCTTAGGAATTGTTCTCAATCAGTAAAACCTCAAGGCTAGTGGGAAGATGATAACTGCCAAACTTGAATTGTTTCTGACCTGAATTTTGCTTTTTAAAAGGAGTAGCTTAGACCTCCAGGAGTATCTTTTACTAGTGCACTGATCAGCAAATACTGAAGTTCTGAAGTGCATCAGAATTGTTTTTGTTTTTGTGCTGTCTGTATTCATGACTTTCATAGTGGTTTAGGATTGCTGCTTTGTTGGGGTGTTTATTTCAGCCATTTTAATCCATCAGTTTCAGAGGGATTATGTGGAAACTCATTTTACAATATTGAGCTTTCAGTTACTGCCTTTTACATGTAGTATTTCTATAGTTCACTGTAGCATGTTTTCACATTTTCCTCTTCTCTCTTCATGTGTTAATGGTAAAAATCCTTGCAATTTTCTTCACAATTTTCCTGTTTCTTAACGATTTCTCTTGTTAATGCTCAATCTAGTCAACTTTTTTTTTAACTGAAGAATAACCCTGCATTCTCTTCCTGCATGTTGAAGATGCAAATCTGAGTTGCTTATGCTTTGTTTTTATTTTTCAGCTGTTCACTGATGGAATCACCAACAAATTAATTGGCTGCTACGTGGGTGACATAACAGATGATGTCGTTCTAGTTAGGATCTATGGAAATAAGACCGAGCTCTTAGTAGATCGAGATGAGGAAGTGAAGAGTTTCCGTGTGTTGCAGGCCCATGGCTGTGCACCTCAGCTATACTGTACTTTCAATAATGGCCTGTGCTACGAGTTCATGCAGGGAGAAGCACTGGATCCAGAGCATGTATGCAATCCAGATATTTTCAAGTAAGGTTTTTATTATTTTTATTATTATTCCATTATTCAAGTTCTGTGATGCACTTACGGTGTTCTGTCAGGCCCAAAGGAGCTCAAGCTTAGTTTGAGTAGGCAGAAATATTTCTGTAAGCCTGCACGAAGTTCATGTTCACACTCTTGACAGCTCAGTATCCTCTTAGTTATCATGGTATTTCAGTGCTGAACAAGTGAGCCTTGCTGTCTCCCCAGAAGAGTATATACTCATTAGAGATCTGCTTATTGTGAGTGTTTAACACTTGCACATTACCATTAGGGAGATTGTTTAATATGTTGGAGTTGTAGGGGGCTGGACTTGATTAAAGCAAGTGTTCCTCAGCTCTGTTTCTAATATATTCCATTTGTGAATAGGTTCAAGATAGTCTTCCATTGAGACATAATCTTTTAAACTATTATCAGTGAATGGAAAGTAGTGATGTTTGTAAACTTAGCTTTTCATGTACAGGGCTGAAATGTATTTGCCTAACAATGGCAGCTAATTTGAGTCAACTCTTCTAAAGATAAGCAAGTTGAAGAGTAGACTGTAAATACAGGTGAAGTGTGCATGCTGTAACTGAACTCCAATCCTTCCTACCTCCCCTCCCTCAAGTAGTGTTGCTAATGACCTTTCGAGTTTTGAAAGATGCTACCCTATAGCTGTGCTGCTCTTGTGTAAACCCTCTTTGGATTCCCTTGCTGCATTTTTAACAATTTTTCTGTTAAATACAGTGTTTTCTCTTGTTGCTAGGAAAAATATGATAAAGACTGTCTGATATATATTAAATATAACATTAATTTAAACTTTTTTTAGACTCATTGCCAGACAGCTTGCTAAGATCCATACTATTCATGCACACAATGGATGGATCCCTAAATCTAACCTGTGGCTGAAGATGGGGAAATACTTCTCTCTCATACCCACAGAATTTGCAGATGAGGAAGTGAATAAAAGGTAGGTATTTCATTATGTACTTTCCTGATTTCCCCATTCTTTCTGGTTGAGGGGTAGAAAAATATTTTAAAAAAACAGATTTGCATTACCACATAATCTTAAGTTTGTAGCATTTTGAGTTTTGTCATACTTTTGTATACTGAAGTAGCTGTATATATGTCCAGTATGATAAGGAGTGTCTTTGAATTCGTGTAGTACATTGTGTATATATACATACAGCTCTTGGTTTGATTGGACACTTAAATGATGGTAGTTTTCTGTACTAAAAGCGTGTTTCCTGCGGTTGCAGGAGTACTGCTTGTTCTTCCTTCTAATCTGCACCTCTTAGTTGTCTTGTTCAGTTTATAAATTTGTCCAAAATTGGGCGATGCAAAAGTAAAGTTAAAAGATATGGGATGACCTCCCAAAGTCTTTTCCAGAGGAAAAGAGGAGCAAGAGGTATCACACAGTCGTTCTAGACCTGTGCTATCATGTAGTATGAATAATGGTGTCACCTGGGTTTAAGGGTTTAACTACATTTTGTTTTTAGCATCTCAGTGTACTCTTGAGTTGTAAATCAAACTGTGTTTTTCTTCTTAGGAGCTTAACAAAATAAGAAAATATTTCCAAAGAGTTCTAATGTCAGTCAGTACATGATTAGGATGAGAGAAATGGCAAAACGAGGAGCAATGATTATCCTAAATAAAATTTCTGTACTGTAATCTAAAGCTTGAGTTGAAGACAGTGTTTATTGGGCAGTGGAGATGAAACTCTTAAGCTAAAACTATAATTTGGAGGTGTTTGTATAGTATCATCAAACTTCATATCACTCAGGAAGCCGATTCCAGCTTAAAAACATTCTTCATGGAACTTCTTTGAAATCACTGATGCCAGCTCCCCTTCTTGCTGCATTGTAGTTAAAGAATGCTCCAGCAAAGTTGTTTGATTTTTTTTTTTCCTTCTACAACGTAAAATTCTTAAGAAAACTGAGAAAAACTGAGTATTAACTGAAAATCTAGAAGAGAAAATTGCTACTTAAGCATATATACTGTGATTAGAACTAAAAATGAATGTTTAATTTCCTCTGTATAGATTTATAAAGTAATTGGTACTTCCTTCCTTCAAGAAGGATGCACAATAGTAATGTCATGTGAGGAAAAAGTGAATGAAATTCATGTTATAAGCCTTTTAATCTTTACTCCTTTAATATGCAGGATTGTATTCAAGTTCCACTCCTGATTTTTGGACTACTGTCATGTTTACAGCATAGATAATCTTCACAAAATTGTTTTTTTGGGAGGACAGAGGGAAATAATTGTCTTAATTGGACTGCTGTTGTGCCAGGGGAAAGA